AATATATTATTTATTTAATATATTTAATATATTATTTATTTAATATATTTAATAATATTATTTATTTAATATATTATTACATGTTTTCAAAAATTAAACCACCAAACGCAGTTTCAGTTTTTTTTAAAACTGAAATCAATCTCTAAATAAAACTATCAAACACATTTTTAGAAATAATTCAAAAATAAAACTAAAAACGTTTTCATTTTTATTTTCGTACAGAAAATAAAAACGTTTTGAAACCAATTCCAAACGCACCGATCATTTCTCCTTTATGTAATCCCTCTTTTCTCAGTGGTCCCACCACTCCCTCTCTCTATTTCTCTCTTTCCCAAGCATCTCTCTCTCTTCCTAGATGGGCCCACCATTCCCTCTCTCTCTTTCCCACTCAACTCCCTCTCTCTCTCTCGGCGCAAAAAGAAGGCCAAAAAAAAAAGCCACAATGAAACGTTTCGTAACAATAATAAAAAAAAACCATTCCACTTTATATGTATGTATAGATTAGAGACATTCTCTAGTACGTCAACATATCAGAATGTCAAATTTTTCTATCTGTTGCATTTATATAAAATTAAGTGAATGTTAAAAAATATACAGATTTAACGGTTAAAAAACCTAATATACTGGTATATCAAACATACTAGAGAATCTCCTTTCTTATTATTATTATTTTGACAACTTTTTATGATAAGGAAATTAAAGGTGTTTTAACTGTTGGATTAATTTTTTTTTAACGGTCATAGATCATATCGTTTACTCCTTTTTTGATAAATTCTTCACTTCTTGTTAATAGTTTTGATTGTACTAATCCTTTTATTAATTTTCTCAAGAATATGAATATCAATCCCAACACAATTAATTTGTTAATCATGTCAGTCGTAACTCAACATGCTTATTACAAGAGTTAAACATATAAAAAAATAGACTAATAGAGAAAAGGTGACGTTTTAATATATATTTACAAGAAGAGTTTCTTCATGTAAATTTTCTTTTTCCTACTGATAAAAATATTTTTTTGCGTAAATAAATATTTATTACTAAATAAATAATTTTTTTCTAGTTGCAAATTAAAAATTCACACGATAAACTATTATTTACTATTATCATTCACTAAATAGTTCATAACGTTAGCACCCTTGTTATGTCCATGATTTGATGGAAATATTGCAGTGAGAGTTTGTTTTCTTTTTCATTTTCTATGTTTCTTTCAGAAAATGAAGAAAAAGCAAGAGCCAAGTACTTCATCGGCTGCTGCAACACCAGCGACTCCGTCCTTGAACGTGATTCCAGTTTGATAAGCGACGACTTTATTGCCATAGTTTGAGCCAACAACAGGGTTTATTTTTATCAGTGTGCCATTTACATATCGCTGGAGAAGAATTGGATTTGTATGTCTTGTTTAGAAATATCACTACTCAAGTCAATGATGACTTTGCTTTGGTCAGAAGCAGCGCGGAGAACAAATCCAAACAAAAGAAGTTGAAGCTCCTTTTTATGTAAAACTTTGGTTGCTTTGTCCTTAAAGACCAATTCATGTAAATTCCAAAAAACTTTCTACTTACGAACGGTCATTCAGCATATACATCTCATTTAAATATTGTGAATTGCACATTCGGGTTCTGCTACATAATAAGACCAGGGTTAACAAGATTGACTTTAAATGGGTTGGATTTAGTTGGACCACTAAGCGCTAAAACACATTTCTCTTAACGTGATTAGCAGAGTGCACTCAAATAAGAAATACTAAAGTGAACACAAATATTGATTTTGTGAAGAAAGGAAAGATGAGTTTCAAAAGTTTAATAGAAAATCACTAGGGGGTAAATAGTTACATTACTCACAACCATAGTGTGGTTTACAACGTGCAAAGTCATTTCAGAAGGCTTTCGCAGCAGAATAAGTTCCATAAAACCCTCAGGTCGTCTTTAAGCATCTCAGTAATCAGATTCACATCAAATTGAGGTTCCTGAATACCGAAAGAAATCTTGAGTTATAAATCTTAAAAATGAACAAATTATGCAAAGAGAAAATCCCAGAAAATATGTTAGCTCAAAGATTTATTCTTTTCCCACAGGGAATGATACCTTCAATTCTGAAACTACCCTTTTCAGCTTAATAACGATCTCCCTAGTAACTTCCCCAATTGAAGTCCTGAAATCAAATCGATCAGCGTCTCTGACCTTTAGCCTCATTGACGGGTTCTTATATGATTTAGTTATGGTGTGCCAGACACCAACCACACTAAATTTATCTCCCGAAGTTGCCTTCCCTAATGGCCATCTTAGCCCACCCTTAACTCCGGAATCTAGAACAGCAGAATCAATCAACTCTCTTATGCTCTTCATGTCATCATCCTGGAAGAGAACCAAGACATTTAGTAGTTATCAGCATATTTCTTGTTCGCAAAAGTTAGGAAACCAAAGTTTTCAATCCTATATCAGTGTCTGCAATGAAACAAAGGGAACTTACAGTAGGAGCAGTTATAATCCTTTTGGTGCATAGTATCAGCCTCAGATCCAAATTCTTCTCAATGCAAGATATGTCCATGACCATGTGCCGCACTTGGTTGAGTTCAATCTAGAGGGAAAGTTATTTCGATGTAAGCCTCACTAAACCTGACCCATGACAACTAGAAAGAAAGGATTGCATTTGACTGCAAAGGTAGAGCAAAAAGAATTTACGGATTCTAAACTCACAAGGTTTACTTGGGGCTCAAGCCTCAAATCTTTATTGAGTACTAAATCCCATCTACATTTTTTCTAATTGCAGTTTTCATAAATTGAAATCAAACAAATGCTACATGATGAAGCAACCAAAATGAAGAAAAATCTGAGATAAACACTCCGAATGAAAGGTGAATTCAATGTTCCAACCTCCCAAGTTTGGATTGATTGATAGTAGGTAGTACAGAGCTTAGCTGCACGTGGCAATAATCGAGTCCAAGGAAAATGCAATCCGCAGAGAACAAGTTATATCAGCCCTAGCTCAAAACGACTGATAAGCCTTCTTGGAATGCAAAGAACCAACAGCAAAGTTCTCAACACGAACGACAGCAATAAAAAGAGAAACAAAGACAAAATGCAGAGCCTTATTCCTTAAAACAAATGACCACGCTGAGATAAACGGCGCCTTGCCTTGCATCACTAAACAAGCATCATATTGGGTGCTAAGTATGTTCACTAATCAAGCATGTAGGAAGTAGAGGACAACTAAACAAGTAGGAAGATGAAACTTGCCTTGTGCAGTTGAAGCTTTCCTTGTTCTTTCATCACAATGCACTTGCAAAAAGTAAGTGAACCTGGTCGTGTGGTGTCGGACAACTACATGACAAAAAGAAAGTGTGACAAATTTGATAAGGCAGTTAATTCATAATAACGGAAACCAGTGTTGAAAGAAGTACCTTGACATGGTAAATGTCTTTCGCCTCTTCAAATTCAACTCCAATCTTTGGGGCACCTTCCTCTTGTATGAATTCCATATATGACTTGGGAATATTTGTGTAAAATGACCTCTTCATCTGTCTCAATGCGTTTTCATTTGTGACTGATTCTTTGTTAAATGAAGGGCTCCTGAAAAAATTACATTTCTCACTCATTAAGTACCTTCAGGTTGGTTCAGCCATACAAGTTCTGGTAGGGGCATTCAATTGTTTTACCCAAAATAATCTGTTCGTTATATGTATATAACAGACATAATATATAAATATTCAATATGATATACAACGAGGAAAAACCAAAACAATAAAAATAGACGGTGACACTAACCCACGAAAAATAACTTTGCCAAATCTAGCAGCTAAAGTTGGCTTCACTTCTTCAAGTTTCTGAGACTCCATTTCGTTCCTCACACGTTCAAAAGAAGAAACTAGATCTTCCATCACATTGTCTACTATGAAATCCCATGGGTTTCTTGAAAAGCGCTCTAAATCCCCTCTGCTACTTTCTGTAAAGCAAGATCAAACAAAACCAACATCAGAAAGTATATATTACATATGCATATATAAATATATTTAAATAAAAAGAGTAACCCAGAAAAAAAAAATCAACAAGATAGAAACATTATCAGCAGAAGAAAAAAAATTACTGACATCTCACCTATATCGCTGTTGATCAAAGCTAGAGACTTTTCACCAACTTTGCCCTCGACAGATTTCAAGGATACAGGTTGGAGATGAACAGAAGCTGGAAACTGATTACGATCGTCCAAACCAACTGTGAACCACCTGGATATAGAATTTTCTGCATAAACAATCTTTCCACTTCTCTGTTTCTGTGCATTAAAATTAGTTCTTGACGGCCTGAATTTCAGATTGTTGTTGAACAGAGGAGAAAGCAGCTCTGGGCTCAGTGAAGACGTCTTTGTGTACTTCGAGTGTCGTTTGTGAGGTGGGATGTAAGCCATGATAAAGAATAAAGAAAAATGCAAATTCTTTTGAGAATGTTCAGAGCCTAAAAGCAAGAATAATGCAAAGGAAACACTGGAAACTTTATATATAAAGCTCAGATTGTAGTTTGATCGTCTCTTTCACTTCTTTTTCAACTTTTTTCCACTTCTTCCACAAGGTAAAGAAGGGACCTTCTTCCACAAGGTAAAGAAGGGACCTTCTTCCACAAGGTAAAGAAGGGACCTTCGATTTGATTTGCTTACTTTTTCCTCTATCAAGACAAGAGTACAGGCCCACTCAGGGCAGATTGGTTATTCTTTCACTCAATTTTTGGATTATTTTTATAAATAACCTTATTGTACCTTATTATAAAGCGTCTCTAATTTTTTAAAATAATTTAAAATATTCTTTAATATATAAAAAATAAATTAAATTATTCTTTCAGTTTTATAATTTTAACGAAATGTTGACGTATTAATATTTAAAATATATATTTTAAATATAAATTCTCATTATGAAAAAAATGATAAATAATTTAGACTTCGTTCATTTTATCGATTCGAGTTTTATTACAGTAAAAAATTCTCAGAAACAATCACATTTAACTTTTTTGTTATAGTAAAAAACTCTCACATAAAATTACATCTCAACTCGAATTAAAAACTCGAATCAACGAACTAAACGTGCTCTTAATATTTAACTTAAAATATGAAATTACAGAAATACCCTAATTAATTTCCACTATTGATCTAGATAAAACCAATTTCAGCCCCTAATTATTTTAGGTAATATAAAACAAATATAAAAGTTTAAACTATAGTGATTCTAATGAGTCAAATGACATGTCAGAGCGAACAAAACCAAATAAAAAATAAAAAATGGAGCTAAACGACAAAGTACTATCAAGTAAACGAACTGTCATTTGATATTCACAGAAGTAATGGAACTGTCGCTCCGCTTGTCATTGAAACAACACTATACGTCATTCACTTTCCTTTAAACGACCTGTCAATTTTCTTTCAAGGTCAAATGACACAAAGTATGAACGACATGCCGTTTGAATTCCTTAAAATTGACATTGCTTGTAATTACAATCGAGAAAAGGATATGTAAATTTTTCCAAACACATTTAAAGCAAATAAAATCTGAATATAAAATTTAAAATAAATAAAGCTTTAAGATGAAAGAAAAAAAAAATAAAACAAAAATAAACTTTAAGGTAAAAAGGCAAAAACAAAAATTTAAAATAAAGGATTAATCTATATCTATATCTAATCGTAATTATAAAAATAATAATAATAATAAAGCGATTTTTTAAGGTGTTGCCATTTAACTCTTTTTTTTTACTTTTTTATATTATTTTTATTGTGATTTTTTTTATCTTTTAAGTTTTATGTGTTATTTAAAAATATATTGTTCCTCACTTTATTCTTATGAGTATTTTTTTTTTTTTTTGCATGTGTTTCTTATAAGGTTATATAAATGAATTTTTCATTATTCGGTAAATAATAATTTTTTCAAAACTAGCCTAAACATACATAAAAGAGTCAAAGAACTTGCTTCTTCTTTGGCCATGTGTCAGCCTCTAATTTATTCCTTCATGTTTTGTTCATTTTTTTTTTAATTTTTCTATTCTTTTCACTTTTGATTTTCTTGTTGCTTCTTCTTTTTTTTGCTTAAAATTCATATTCCATTTATTTTTATTTTTTCCTCTTTTTCTTTGCCTATTGTCATTTTTTTGGTTTTTTCCTCTAATATTCTCTCACATCTTATTTTTTTTTACAATGTCTCTTTTGAAATACTTTATTTTTTTCACTTTCTTTTAATTAAAATAATTCTTTTCAAATATCTCTCTACTTAAGTTTTTCTTTTTTTTATTAAAACTCTTACATAACTTTGATTCTTTTTTTATGTGATTTTTTGAAATATTTTTTTCCTCTTATTCCAAATAATGATCTTAGTTTCTAAAAAGGCTACTGCCTTGTTCTTTTCACACCATAAGTTATATTACTATAGTGTTTTCTCTCACAAAAATTTAAATTTTACTTTTTTATTATAGTGTTTTTCTCTCACATACACGACTCGAGATCTTAACTTGAGTTGTGAAACAAACATACCCTATGTATTTTGACGTTGTTTTAAACTCATAAAGTTATTCCCCACGTGTGTAGCACATGGCTCAACTAGTATACTTAAACAGAATTGGCTTCGAAAGATGACATGTATTGGCCTATATGGAGGCCACGTGTTGAGTTCGTCTTTCTTTTTGTTTTTATTTTTTTCCTCTTTTTTTCTTTCTCTTTTTTTTTTCATTTTTAGACTTTTTTTTATTCCCCGCGTGTGTAGCACATGGCTCAACTAGTATACTTAAACAGAATTGGCTTCGAAAGATGCCATGTATTGGCCTATATGGTCTCTATTGCCTTTTTTTTATTTTTCCCCCACTACTGTCCACCTATTGCCTTTAGCATATATATTTTGAGTTGTGAAACACCCTATGTATTTTGACGTTGTTTTAAACTCATAAAGTTATTCCCCACGTGTGTAGCACATGGCTCAACTAGTATACTTAAACAGAATTGGCTTCGAAAGATGCCATGTATTGGCCTATATGGAGGTCACGTGTTGAGTTCGTCTTTCTTTTTGTTTTTATTTTTTTCCTCTATTTTTCTTTCTCTTTTTTTTTTCATTTTTAGACTTTTTTTTATTCCCCGCGTGTGTAGCACATGGCTCAACTAGTATACTTAAACAGAATTGGCTTCGAAAGATGCCATGTATTGGCCTATATGGAGGTCACGTATTGAGTTCGTCTTTCTTTCTTTTTTTACTCTATTTTTCTTTCTCTTTTTTTTCATTTTTAGACTTTTTTTATAATTTTCTTCTCTCTCTCTCTCTCTCTCTCACGCCTCTCTATTGTCTTTTTTTATTTTCCCCCCACTATTGTCCACCTATTGCCTTTAGCATATATATATATTTTTTTAATTTCATTCACTAAGTGTGTATGGATTTTTAAATAGAGACAGATGAAACATACAGAATGTTTCATTTGATAAGGATATACGATCAAGTTGAGAAAGTCAAGGGAGGAAATCAAGGGATTTCCACGTTTGAATATTTTTTGTAATTATATGTAATTATGTCATTTATTTGTATTATTAGATAGTTACTCAATTTGTTTTGTTTCCTATTTCTGTGCTCATGTAATCTGAATATATGTTAACCACATCAATGAGAATAGTATGCCATAATTCTTCAATTTCTCTCTTCCTAAAATCCTTTATGGTATCAGAGCGGATTGCTCTTTAATTTTTTTTTTCCAACCATGTTCTTCAATCTTCAGCAAGCCTTTCATCCCCCTAATTCCAATGGCTAACGAGAATACTCAAATCATCCCTAATGCCCAGGAACCCACAAAACCACTAACCATGATTACTATCCATAACTCCATTAAACTCACACCCACCAACTATCTTTCTTGGAAAACCCAAATGGAAGCCATTCTCATCGGCTACGACCTACAAAAATTCCTTGATAGGTCCTACCCTGCTCCTCCAACCACCATCACCACCAATAATGCTATTACCACTAATCTTGAATACCAAACATGGCTACGTCAAGACAAACTATTATTTGGAGCACTTGTCGGCACTCTCTCACCCAATCTAGTTCCTCTCATCACCCAATCTAAACCTCCTATGAAGCCTGGCAAATACTCGCCAACACCTATGCTCGACCATCTCGTGGCCATATCAAGCAACTCAAAGACCACCTTAAAAACATCACCAAAGGCTCTCAGTCCATTACAGACTACATGCAGCCCATTAAAACCCGAGCCGATGAACTTGCTGCTCTTGGTAAGCCTCTTGACCATGAAGATCTGATTGAAAAAGTACTTGAAGGCCTTGATGAAAATTATCAGTCCATCATTGATGCTGTCAACGGTCGTGATTCCACCATTTCTTTTGATGAACTCCATGAAAAACTCATCAACAAAGAATTGTCTCTCCGCAATAAGATAAGCCCCTCACCCCTACCGGCATCTGCTCATGCCACCAATGTTCTGTCACCAATCGCACTCCTCGGCTCCCTGGATCCACTTCCACACCCACTCAAGGTATCATAAGAAATTCTCCCACTGACACCCGCGCCAACGGTCCTCCTGCTTGTCCATTCCTTGGTCGCTGCCAATGGTGCAGTACTCAAGGTCATGTAGTCTCCCGCTGTCCTCTTTTCCGTCAACAGTTTCTGCATGTGCAACCACCTCCTCGTCCCGGCAATTCATCACAATCTCGACCACCGGCTCCCTGGCAAGCTCAAGCAAATCCAACACCACATGGCTACTTGATAGTGGCGCCTCACATCATGTCACCACTGACCTACATAATCTTGCTCTCCACAGTCCTTATGATGGCACATATGAAATTATGGTCGGCGATGGCTCTGGTCTCCCTATATCTCACACTGGTTCCACCTCTCTTACCACTCCCTCTCACTCCTTTACTCTATCTAATGTTTTATGTGTTCCCCCCATGAAACGTAATCTTATTTCTATTTCTCAATTTTGCGAGTCTAACAATACTTCCATTGAGTTCTTACCCTCTTCTTTTCATGTGAAGGATCTTCGCACGGGTGCAATCCTTTTGCAGGGTCGGACTAAAGATGGTGTGTATGAATGGCCACTCTCCACTACCCAGTCACCTTTAATTGCGTTTTCTAGTGTCAATACCACTTTGTCCGAGTGGCATCATAGGCTAGGTCATCCTTCTTTGTCAATCTTCAAAAATATTATGTCCTCGTTTCATTTAGATGTCTCTCGTCCGTCCAATTTCAATTTTAATTGTAATTCGTGTCAATGCAATAAAAGTCATAAATTACCATTTTCTACTTCTACTCTCTCTACCTCTTCCCCTCTTGAAGTTATATTTACTGATATATGGACATCACCAGTCTACTCTATTGATAACTTCAAATACTATGTCATATATGTCGACCATTTTACAACATATATCTGGCTTTATCCCCTCAAACGCAAATCTGACACGCATGATGTCTTTGTGCGCTTTAAGGCCATAATGGAAAAATTCTTTAACTGTCCAATCATAACTCTCTACTCTGACAATGGGGGGGAATATCAAGCTCTCTCCTCATTCTTAACAATCAACGGGGTCTCACATCTTACTTCTCCACCTCACACTCCTGAACACAATGGGTACTCTGAACGTCGTCATCGTCACATTATCAAAACCGGTCTTTCTCTCCTTACACATGCATCCATGCCTCTATCATATTGGCCTTTTGCCTTTTCTACTGCCGTCTACCTCATCAATCGCCTTCCTACACCAACTCTAAATCACCTTTCACCATATCTCAAACTCTTTGGCACACTCCCTAACTACTCCAAACTTCAAAGCTTTGGATGTCTCTGCTATCCTTGGCTTCGCCCATACACATCCCACAAACTCGAGTCTCGTTCCTCTCCTTGCGTCTTTGTCGTGTATTCTCCCACTCAAAGTGCCTATCTATGTCTTGACACATCCACCGCTCATCTATACACTTCCCGTCATGTCCGCTTTGTCGAGTCAATTTTTCCCTTTGCCACTTCTTATACTTCTCTTCCCCGTGCCACTTCATCCACCATCTTTGAATAGTGCTCTATGACTTTACCAGTCGTGGCCACACCATCCATGAATGCCAGCTCTGCTCCCCCGTCAGGTCTGCTCACTTTTACCACCCCAAGCCAACCCCAACACCCAAACCAAAATAATACCACCTGTGCCACACCTACACCAGAGCCCGACAACCATTCTAGTGCGCCCGTGCTAGAACTCTCACCCTTACCTCGTGTCATAGTCACTCGCTCCAAATGCAACATCTATAAACCAATTCAAAAGCTTAACCTTACTGCCCAACTCCAACAACCTACCCTTGAACCCATCACTGTTACCCAAGCCCTCAAGGACCCAAAGTGGTGACAAGCTATGTCTGAAGAGTTTGATGCCTTACTACGTAATGGGACATGGGACCTAATGCCATCTCATCCCACTCAAAATTTGGTTGGTTGTAAGTGGATCTTTCGCACTAAATATTTACCTAATGGCTCCATAAACAGGTACAAAGCTCGATTAGTTGCTAAAGGCTTCCACCAACGCCCTGGAATTGACTACTCTGAAACCTTCAGTCCAGTCATCAAACCTACCACTGTCCATCTTGTTCTCAGCCTTGCGGTCAGCCAGGGTTAGTCACTCAGACAACTTGATGGCAACAATGCCTTTCTTCAAGGCACTCTCACTGAGGATGTGTTTATGTCTCAACCTCTGGGATTCATTGATCGCGATCATCCTCATCATGTCTGCAAGCTACGCAAGGCTATCTGTGGCCTCAAACAAGCTCCGCGTGCCTGGTATCATGAGCTGCGCCAATTTCTTCTCCAATTTGGCTTCACCAATTCTATTGCCGACACCTCCTTGTTCATCTTCAACAACTGTGGCACCATCCTTTATCTTCTAGTCTATGTCGATGATATCATTATCACTGGGAATAATGTTGAAGCAGCGCAGACTTTCATTCAACAACTTTCTCAGCGCTTCTTTCTCAAGGACCTTGGCCCTCTGACATACTTCCTTGGAGTGGAAGTTACCTCCCACCCCAATGGTCTTTTCCTCAATCAACGCAAATACATTGCCGATCTACTTAACAGAACTCACATGACTGAAGCCAAGCCTGCTTCTACACCACTAGCAACTAGTCTAATTCTCACTTTACAATCCGAAACCCCACTATCTGACCCGACCGAGTATCAAACAGTTGTTGGCAGCCTCCAGTATCTCTCCCTCACTCGGCCGGATGTTGCCTATACGGTGAACAAACTCTCTCAGTTTATGCATCAACCGACAAGTGACCACTGGAATGCAGTCAAGCGTCTGCTACGGTATCTCTGTGGCACCTTAGATCACGACATCACACTTCGTCGGGCCTCCCCACTAGCACTTCATGCCTTTTCTGACGCTAATTGGGCCGGTAACAAAGATGATTTCACCTCCACTAGTGCATACATAATCTATCTGGGCCACAATCCTATTTCTTGGAGCTCCAAGAAACAACAAACCGTAGCTCGCTCTTCCACTGAGGCTGAATACCGAATGGTGGCCTCTACTACTGCGGAAATTCGTTGGATTTGCTCTCTCCTCACAGAACTCGGTGTCACTCTTCCCCAACAACCAGTTATTTATTGTGATAATGTTGGTGCAACAAATCTCTGTTCCAATCCGGTCTTTCACTCGCACCTCTTACCAAACCTCTTGCACGTCCTCAGTTTGACTCACTCAAGGCCAAGATTGGACTTGCTCCACGGCCGTCCATCTTGCGGGGACATGATAAGGATATACGATCAAGTTGAGAAAGTCAAGGGAGGAAATCAAGGGATTTCCACGTTTGAATATCTTTTGTAATTATCTGTAATTATGTCATTTATTTGTATTATTAGATAGTTACTCAATTTGTTTTGTTTCCTATTTCTGTGCTCATGTAATCTGTATATATGTTAACCACATCAATGAGAATAGTATGCCATAATTCTTCAATTTCTCTCTTTCTAAAATCCTTTATCATTTACGTTTTTATATATATAAAAAAATCTTATGTTTATAATCATGACTTATTAAAACACTTTTGCCTATTTGAAACATCAATTTTGATCTTTTTATTTTTTGTTCATTTTAAATCCTGTGATTTCTAATTGTGTTTTATTAAATTTTATCCCTTATTATGCTCTTATTTAAAAACTTTTAAATATGTGCATGCCTAAATATTTTTTTTGTTCTTAATATATATTTTTAAATATTTGTGTCTTAAAAATATAACGTAGTCACACACGTAGTGCGTGTTTTAACTAATAAAAAAAGAGGAGGAGGGTGTACGGCGGTACTATTTTGATCGAAACCGTACATTTATTGGCATTTCTAATATTGATTGATAGATACACGTTTTTTTTACACACAAGATAATATAAAATAATTGACAGAAGTCTCGACTTATGAAATTTTTAAAAAGTCTCGATGTTCAAATTGCATTTGGTTTCTATGGAGAATTTTTAATTGGTATATGATATAATTATAAAAATATGTAGCAATAGCACACAATTTTTGACTATCATATTTTAATATGATTTAATTAAATCGTTATACTTTATTTCATTTGATTTGAATATTGTGATTCAATTTTATGGTTAAAAACTATACCTGAATTTGAGGATTAAAAAAAAAAATCTCCTTTTTTCCGACCGTTAAAACTACAATTCAATACAAGAACCAGAGATCAAACCCAGATAATTAACATCGCCTTCAACGTACGCTTGGAGGTTGCATTGAACATTGTTGTTTCTTTCCCGGAAATTTGAACGTTAGTTTTGCAATTAGATGTTGAGATTATTGCTTTATGTGGATTCATCACCTATTCCTAATTAGCTTTGATACAACGAAAAGCCCAGCATTAGATGTAATTACCAGGAGAGATTTAGGTAGATTAATATACATTAGGAAAGAAAAACATGATTAGATAGAGTTAATTGGGACCAAACATCTAAGTATTAAATACTTATTGGAAGCTATCCAAGGTCTCGTTCATTTCACCGATTTAATATTAGAATTTGAGTTTTACTATAGTAAAAAACTCTCAGAAACAGTCACATTTAACATTTTTATTATAGTAAAAAGTTCTTACATACTGTCACGTCTGAACTCGAATTAAAAATTCAAATCAGTGAACTAAACGGATACAGATCTAAATAAGCACGATGACATGGTACGTTATTGAATAATTCCTCGTTTGTTAATAATTCAATGTAGGACTCTCTTATTGGACAATTGTAACAATTAGGGTCATGCAGTACGTAAGGTGTATGGAATCAGCAATTGACTTGTATACCAAATTTTACAGTACGTCAATGGACCTTTTCTTTAGCTTATCGTTATATAAGAGCTTGAACGAGCCCACCCGAGTTCAGTATTCTCTATATCTCCTCTAATTCTTTCTCTCTGAACTCCGAAGTTCCGAGGAAATTACATAGGAGAGAAGGAAATGGCGAAAGGAGAGAGAAGGGTTTTGTTGCTGTGCGGGGACTACATGGAGGATTACGAGGCCATGGTTCCTTTCCAAGCCTTGCAGGCTTATGGAGTCGCCGTCGACGCCGTCTGCCCCGGCAAGAAAGCCGGCGACCTCTGTCGTACCGGCATTTTATACGGTGCTGGTCACCAGGTCCGCCATTTCTTTTGCCTCTCATTTCTTAAACATAATTACAATTTCCCTATCTGATTTATTTTCATATCCACCCATAACTGTTGGTCTTTTGTCTATGTGCTGGTTTTTATTTTATTTGTATTCTTTATTTGTTTTATTTAAACTCTCGTCGTTTAGAACTAGGCGTTAGATACCATTGTGGTTTTGAAGATTATAAATACCCGCCGGCTGAAAATAAAGAAGGCAAAAGGTTAGGCTTGCAAACTTGAGCAATTTTTGTATGGGTCAAGAAATTGTTTATTCAAGAAGGCTCGTATGCTTGTGGTTCCAGCGTTTATGACTTTTGGCCAAATTGGGACACATATCAAGGTTTTTATTTGAGCTTTTGGATGCACCTGTAGATTTATTCAATACGCGAGATAAAAAAAAAAAAAAAAAAAACTCTATGAAGTAGGGACCTTTTGATGAGATGTAAAATTTGATTATGTACGTAGAAACATAGGCTCAAGTTTTTGCAGATACATATTAAAATATTGGTAGTGATATTGATCATGTTAGATGTCATTATAGAATATGTGAAAATATAAAACTTAGACGATTACGAGGTATGTTAAAGTAAATTAATGAAATCCAACTCTGAACCGTTATGTTATGGCCATGTTGTTTTTACTTGTGATTTTTACGTTTTTTTTCTGACGCAGACTTACACTGAATCAAGGGGTCACAATTTCGCGCTTAATGCAACCTTTGATGACATTGAATTTAGCAAATATGATGCGTTGGTCATACCAGGAGGACGAGCTCCAGAATATCTCGCGATGGATCAGAAAGTTGTGAACTTGGTGACCAAATTTTCCGACTCCAAAAAGCCAATTGCAGCTATTTGCCATGGACAATTGATCTTGGCTGCTGCAGGCTTAGTTAAAGGTCGGAAGTGTACCGCATACCGCTTAGTCGGGCCAGTACTTGTTTCCGCAGGTGCTCATTGGGTTGAACCTGAGACCCTTGCATCTTGTGTTGTTGATGGTGATCTAATCACTGGGACCACATTTAAGGGGCATCCTGAGTACATTAGACATCTTCTAAAGGCACTCGGAGGGAAAGTAACCGGTTCGGATAAAAGGATTTTATTTCTCTGTGGGGTATGTTATATTTTTCTTTTCCCTAAATATCGATCAGGCTAATCAGTTTTAGAAGTTTTCAGTTGTAACTATGGTTTGCTTCCTATCATTTCTATTTGCAGGATTTCATGGAGGATTACGAGATTACCGTTCCTCTACAAGCTCTTCAAGCTCTAGGATGCCATGTTGACGCAGTTTGCCCCAAAAAGAAGGCCGGTGACATCTGCGTAACTGCCGTGCAACAATTTGAGGGCGACCAAACTTACACCGAGAAGCGAGGCCATGATTTCACCTTAACAGCTGATTATGAAGGTTTAGAGGTATCAAGTTATGATGCTCTTGTCATCCCTGGAGGTCGATCTCCAGAGTATTTGGCAGTAGACAAGACAGTCATTGCCATTACAAAGCACTTCATGGAAGCCAAGAAGCCGGTTGCAGCCATATGTCACGGCCCGCAGATTTTAGCCGCTGCGGGGGTCCTGCAGGTAGAGTGATATTAACCTTATTGTCTAACAACTACCAAGTACCAAAGGAAGTTTATAAAAGGCTCTCTTTCGTTTCGCTAGTTCGAATTACTAACTCTAATTTTTAATCTCATATAAATTTACTTTTTAACTCAAATTCTCAACTCGAATGAGGAAATGAATGTGCGATTTTAGCGTGTAGTAGTTGCACTAGTACTACAACTGAAAAGAATATTATAGTCTTATGTCATAACATTTTATTGTCTTGGCTGTTTTGCAGGGGAAAAAATGTACAGCCTACCCAGCCGTGAAGCTTAATGTGGTTTTGGCAGGAGGAATATGGTTGGAACCGGACCCATTCCATCGTTGCTTCACTCATGAAAATTTGGTGACTGGAGCAGCTTGGCAAGGGCACCCTGAGTTTATTGCTCAGTTGATGGCATTGCTTGGCATTCAAGTGTCGTTTTAATTTATGTTAATCCGGCCTTATGCATGGTTATCCATATCCATAGTCCATAAATCCATAACGAATAACAAAAGTGAGCTTGAGATTAGTGTGTATGAATAAACGAAAAATGTTAAAACGTGGGCCTATTAGTGGCCCCATCAGTTTGTGTGTTAGTGAGTGTGACCAATATCTCTAATAAATGATACTCTTCACTCTCTAGCCTTTCTCAGTTTTGTATGACACGTTGTGCAAGTTTTCTTTTTTGGTATAATTCAATTAGTTGGTTATAGCGAAATTGTCTAACTTATTTTTTTTTTCTATAATTTTATATTAGTAGCTTTATCTTTTAAAAATTTTATTTTTGGTACTCTGAGACTTTTTTTTTTTAGATTTAAAATGTCAAATTTATCATTTTTTACAATTTTTGATTTGGTTGATCCAATTTTATTGTTTATTAAACCTTTCTAAAAAAACCTTATCACTGTGACCAAACATCTTTTTTTTTTGCCAATAAAAATCTTAAAAAATTAAATTAGAGTCAATCAAATTATAAATTACTGAACATGGCAAATTTGACATTCATGTCCGAAAAAAGATCTCATAATACCAAAAATTAATTTTTTTTAAAAGGTAGAGGTACCAATTTAAAATTATCAAGAACACAAGTACTAATTTAAAAATTATTATGAACACAAGGTATTAAAAGACAATTTTGCTATAACACCAATTGATCAAATTGAAATTATCCCTTATCTTTTTGTTTGCTTTAAAAACAAATGAAATTTCAAGTCCAACCAAAAAAAAAAAAAAAAAAAAAAAAACAACAAAGTTCAGGAGCATGAAACCAAACGAAGTACAAGTTACAACATAGGACCGCATAAATAAGTTGATTTTATTAGAATATTAAAAACCAAGTTTTTATTGGACAGCGACGCATATAGCGATTTGCGACATACTGGGATCTTAAAAATATTTTAACTCAATTATTTTAATACAAGTCTTAAGGTGATTTGTATTAGAGTATGATTAATCTTTGCTTGATAATGGTTTGCATCCGTACATCTGGATTTGTTTGATGGAAAATCTCTTGATAATTATTGTACACTTCCTTTTTTAGGTTACAAATTTGAAACTTTCTCTAATAATTCCTGTAAAAATATATTACAAATAGTGTTTTATTTTTTAGTCTTTAAATTTATATTAAAATTTATATATTTTATATATTTTTTTAATTTAATGTAATTTAGACTAAATTCAACTATCAAAAATTAAAAATGATAAATACTCCCTATAAATTATTGTGCACATCAATAAGATAAGGACGAAGAAAAAGGGCAATGGGAACAACAACGAAATATAATTCAAGGAAAAAAAAAGACATATAAGAAAAATATGAAACAACGGTAAAAATAATAACAAATAATGTCTCACAAATAATAAAATATCCTCTGAAAAAATAAAAACAAAGATGGGCCACGATTTTTTTGTTTTTTTTTTTGGTAAATGGCCACGATTGCTTATCACCACGTCGTGTCAAACATCCGGAAATTTCCAAAATCCTTTGCTGATTAAGCGAAGATTTCCCCTGATTTCCTCTCTTTTTTTATTTATTTAAAAAAAAAACTAATTATTATAGCTTTAACAAGTCCACTGGAGCTCAGTATTTTCCATCTCCTTGTCTATTTCTCTGTGAACTCCGAAGCTCCGAAGAAAACAGAAGAGAGAAGAAAATGGCGAAAGGAGAGCGAAGGGTTTTGTTGCTGTGCGGGGACTACATGGAGGATTACGAGGCCATGGTTCCTTTCCAAGCCTTGCAGGCTTATGGAGTCGCCGTCGACGCCGTCTGCCCCGGCAAGAAAGCCGGCGACATCTGTCGCACCGCCGTTCACGACAGTTCTGGTCACCAGGTCCGCCATTTCTCTGCCTCTCATTTCTTAAACACGATTAAAATTTCTCAATCTGATGATTTATTTCATATCCATCCATCATTATTGGTCTTTTGTCTATGCTCCGTTTTTTTGTTTTATTCTTTATTTTTTGAGAGTCTTTTTGTTTAGAACTAGATAAATACAGGCCGGAAAAAAGAAGGTAAAAGGTTAAGCTTAGAAATTTGAGCAATTTTTGCATAGGTCGAGTTCAAGCAATCCTTTATTCAAGAAGACTCAAGTGTTTTTGGTTCCATGTTTATGACTTTGGCCAAATTTGGAGTTATGGATCCATTGTATGCTTTTTTAGTTGAGCTTTTGGATGCACCTTTAAATTTACTTAATACATGAGATGGATAACTCTATGAAGCAGGGACCTTTTATGAGATTATTGAATAGTGTTCTTGTTGTGTTTCGATGTTTGTTGTTGAATAGTGATCTTGTTTAGATGTTGTTATTAAATATGCAAATTGTAAAGGATAAAATATATCTGACTTCCACATCATTTAAATATAATGATAAATATAAACTTTAATGACGTTGGCTTTCCTTCCTGACAGGTTGACTTCTTACGATGAAAGTACAAGCCTTGTTGACCTTCTAAGATGAAAGTACAAGCCTTAAAAAATCTAATATGTATTCAGAACTATATGAGATATGTTAGAATAAATTCATGAAACCCAACTCGGAACCATGAAAACCAACTCGGAACCATGAAAACTGCATAAATTAGGATGGGTACCACTTTTGAAGTCTAGTTATTCACCTCTACCACTTTCACGTGTAAATTAGGCTTAAATTTTCGACATAATTGGTATATTTGAATAAGAATTCTCTAAAAGTAGTATTCCTCTATCTCACCCCATGAATTTTAGTACTTTTAGGAGACATTAACTCCTCAGGTCTTAATTTTGGACATACTCCCTGAGAAGATTTGGGCGCTTTTGAGTTTGATGATTCTCTTCTGCTTTATTTATGGTGAATACACACGTCTTCTTGAAAAGGAAAACACCGTGAAAGAGTGAAATACTAGAGTGGTCCAGAACTTGTACTTTGCTTTCCTAATACAGCTGTTTGTGAGCCTTGATATGCCATCTCGTTTTCCTTATTTGGCATTTTTCCTGTTACAGACTTATTCTGAATCAAGGGGTCACAATTTCGTGCTTAATGCAACTTTTGATGACATTGAATTTAGCAAATATGATGGGTTGGTCATACCAGGAGGACGAGCTCCAGAATACCTAGCAATGGATCCAAAAGTTCTACAGTTGGTGATCAAATTTTCTGACTCCAAAAAGCCAATTGCTTCTATTTGCCACGGACAACTGATCTTGGCTGCTGCTGGCTTAGTTAAAGGTCAGAAGTGTACTGGATTCCCTGCTGTGGGACCTGTACTTGTTGCTGCAGGTGCTCATTGGGTTGAACCAGGGACACTTGCATCTTGTGTTGTTGATGGTAATCTAATCACTGCGCCCACATATGAAGAACATCCTGAGTTCATTAGACTTTTTGTCAAGGCACTAGGAGGGCACATAATTGGTTCAGATAAAAGGATTTTATTTCTATGCGGGGTATGTTTTATGTTTCTTTTTACTAAAATTGAGAAACATCAATCAGGCTAATCAGTTCGTTGTAATTATCCTTTAAAATTTTCATCCAGTCTGTTCCATGACCATAGTTGAATTTTCAGTTGTCACTCGGCTGAAAAATGGTTTGCTGCCTGTCACTCCTATTTGCAGGATTACATGGAGGATTACGAGGTTACTGTTCCTTTCCAGGCTCTTCAAGCTCTAGGATGTCACGTTGACGCAGTTTGCCCCAAAAAGAAGGCTGGTGACAGCTGCGTAACTGCTGTGCATGATTTTGAGGGTGATCAAACTTACAGCGAGAAGCCAGGTCATAATTTCACCTTAACGGCTAATTTTGATGGTTTAGATGTATCGAGTTATGATGCTCTTGTCATCCCTGGAGGTCGAGCTCCAGAGTATTTGGCACTGGACAAGACGGTCCTTGCCATTGCAAAGCACTTTATGGAAGCCAAGAAGCCGGTTGCATCCATCTGTCATGGACAACAGGTTTTAGCCGCTGCCGGGGTCCTGAAGGTAGAGTGATATTGACCTAATTCTCTAACAACTAACAAGGAACTGTGTAATAATTTATTTATCACTCGTATGTCTAATAATGATTTTGGGATGTATTCAATGAGCTAGTACTGGAACGGAAAAGAAATCATATAGTTTCATGCCCATATGGTTTAGGCCCTTTCTTTCCCCCATTCTACATGAATTAAAGTTAAGTGAATCGCAATCATAAACTGAATCAGACGGGAAGAATGGCTTGACATGTAGGAATTGTATTGATAAACTGTGAATCATAATAATTTACTCCTGAACTTTACTCAGACTGAACTGAGTGTGTAAAACTGTGTTGCTCTGTTGATGTATTTGTGTGGTGCAGTTGAGTGTAAGTTGACTAATTTTAACCCACCCCAGCATGTCGTAACTTTTTACTCTCTTGGCTTCTTTACAGGGGAAAAAGTGCACTGCCTATCCAGCTGTGAAGCTTAATGTTGTTTTATCAGGAGCAATATGGTTGGAACCTGATCCAATCCATCGTTGCTTCACTCATGAAAATTTGGTAACTGGAGCAGCTTGGCCAGGGCACCCTGAGTTTCTTCAGCAGTTGATGGCATTGCTTGGCATTCAAGTTTCTTTTTAATTTCTGTTTACCATGTTTATATATATGAATAATAAAAGTGAGTTTGAGATGAGTGTGCATGAATAAATCATACTCTCGAATCTCTGACCCGGTTTTGTTTGCCATGTTGTGCAAGTTTTCTTCTACGGTATTGTTCTGCTACTTTCTGTTTGCACCTTTATTGTAGGTGTTGACTCTTGGCTTTTTTTATCTTGTTTCTTGAAGCGTCCAGATTCTTGTTAGAATTTGGAATGCGTAGCTAGTTCTCAGATAATTGATTGACAAGTTTCTTTCCTAAGTATTATAAAAACGACAATGAATAAAATTGTGATGTCTGTATCCTGTTGCACCGGAAAATTACATGTCGTTAACCGGTAGGGGAAAGGCAAAACAATTAATTATACGTTGTTTCCTCATTAACAGACGACATTTAATTGAAAGTGCAGGTAACTGTTTTAGCGAAAAATTGCATGTCGTTTACATGTCGATCTGCTAGAAGTAAAAAAGTTGTCCTTTTTTTTTTTGGCTGCTGCTGCTAGAAGTAAAAACTTGTCATTTAGTTAAAAGAAAATCACTTAGAACAATACGTGGTACTTTCCATGAAAAGGAAAAATGTTCCCCCCTAAAGAGACAGAGAGCAATTGAAGTTGAAGGAGCACCGGGTTTTCTTCTGAAGGAGCAATGTTCAAGTATAAATAAACGACATGTCGTCTAATATGATTAGCTGAAGCAAAAATGTCGATTGTAGTTTGGGGTTAAAAAAGACAATTAACGACACAAATAATTAATTATCACTGAATATTGTTTATATTAAGGAAATATCGTTTTTCTTAGATTTGCCACACAAATTTACGATATTTACATTCCCATTATTAAGTTAGTCTTTCTCGTTTTGAATGCTGGAAAGTTAAAAGGAATTCTAAATGTTAAATTTAAACTAACAAAACTTCATAGAAGTCAAAACTCAAAAATAATAAAAGAGGAAAATCGCACAAAGGAAAAGGAAAGACAAAAAATGAGAGACCATGCAAAACGCTCCGACACATGTTTCACCTCATCAATTATTGATTGTTTGGTTGAGGGATTCGTACCCCGATTCGAATTATGGTTCATGATTCGCTACAGTATTTTCTCTCATAAAAAATACACGTAAATAAAAAATAATTCTAATTTTATGATTATAATTCATGAACCAAACCTCTAGTCTAAGATATCAACTTCTGAAATACGACCAAAAAACACATGCATCTTCTCGCTCATCGGACTCGTGTAAATTAATAAAACAGAAGAGACCAAGGGATTGGGAGAAGCCCAAAAAACCCATGTTCATTTTGAAACTTCAGGGATAGAATAAGATGGATATATGGATTCTTGCACTATTTCGTCAATGTAATAACAGTGTCGTTTTTTCTGTTGTCAGCTGATGATCTGGTTGCAGACTGCAGAATGTGGGATTGTTGACCTTTATTAACAAAAAACTATAAATTTCACATTATCTTCATCAAACTTACGAATTATTTTTACTCAAAAAAATATTTCTCATTTGAGAGCCGGTGGTAAGTGGTCCCTCCCTAGGCAAACACATGCATTGGTAGCTGCGTTTTGGGCAATTGGTCAATATTCACAAGCCTTTTATATTTCTTGAGAAAACAATATTTAATATGCACAATCACCTAACACTTTTTAAAGTGTTTAATTGATAGTCGCAATAATATTCAAATATCAAATATTGGTGATCAGTTCTTTCTCTCGTTTCTCTCCAGTCACAACTCACGACTATACTTAAAAAAATGCATATATATTGACTATATATCCTTTCTTACGTCGCCAATATATATATATATATATATATATATATTCCAATGTAAATTTTACTACAACTGGCTCAATGCCGAAATAAAATAAAACCCGACTTGGCAAACACGAAACAGATTTAGAAAATCACATCTATGTTAGGTACAGTACTGAAAGCCAGCTGTTTATATAAAGAAAAGAAAAATATCAGTCTCAGAAACCTGCACCACTGTATGAACAGAAGCACTAATTAAATAACAATAAATAAATAAATAAAAACTAGTATGTACATGCCAAGAAAAACACCGTCGAAAAGTTTTACAATTTTCTCAGAGATCAACATCAAGGAGATTTTAATTGTGTAAGGAAGAGAAAGAAACAGCTCTGAATAAACTGAACAGAATTAATCGCTGTAAAAATACTATACGAGCCAACAGAAATACTGTAGAATATTTACAAATTTTGGCAGAGAGTAGATTTATTCCCACTAACAGGTCCACATTCAACAACTACAACTCATTCTTTTTCCTCGGTTTTTTCCTTGCTTTCCTTTTACTCTACTTAATGGTCTCTCCCAACTTTTTTTTTTTACCTGAAAAAATGTGCTTGATTTCTTTAATAAATGATAACGAAATATTCGATCCTAATAATATTCTCATTAATTATCACTCATAATTAAGCCGCTTAATGAGCCTCCTAATCACATTATTACCCATCAAAGGAGAACCATTATTTTCTTCCATATCCATCATGTGCGTTTTTTACCATTTACTTACCACCTCTCCGATTGGTGTTTTTAGTGTTTACTGTTAATTTCATGGGGTGAAATCAGTTTTTGGCACCGTACCTGTTAAATTGACAGGGAATCAGAGAGATTTCTATAATTTCCTCGATGGGTCCATTTCTTTATGCCAAACCTACGACCTTTGAAGCTTTAACTCTCCTTGGGGCTTTAACAAAAAAGACAAATTAACTTTCTCAGGCCTAGAAAAAATTTTAACCAATAGAAGAACAAAACTACAGATGGGTAATTCAGAATATTACTGATATACTTTTGTTAATTACACTTAAGTGATGAAGTCAACCATAGGGGGGGAAAACAAAGCAACAAACGACAAATCGTTAGTCATATGTTTACAAGGCAAAAAAAAAAAAAGTCCTTTTCCATGATACATATATAACAAACAATAATTTTACATAACATGATTGGTTTTTTTTGTTTTTTTGTTTTAAATGTATCAACATATAATTTTAATATGCATCACATGCGCACCGGATATTAATAATATTGTACATAAACTTACATAAGTTTAATTTTGAGTGGAATAACTTTAATATCTTGAGTGGTATTTTTAGTTTTTTTCTATTAATAAATTCGAATGTAACACTTAAGAATAAATAGCATACTGTGCTCCACAAATGAAGAAAATTTTAAAAAATAAAATAAAATAAAAGTACACCAGTTAAGATTAAAAAACATACAATATGTATATTTTCTATATTCGGAAAAATCTAATCTGGTTGAGATACTTTCATTACCTAAACCTTAGTCAAACCTTTGTTTTAGTAATGTATAATGTGCCTCGTTCTCTCGCACGCCACAACCTTAAAGCAAACGTATTTCGTGTTCCTGTTTGCATACTCTACAAATGGTCTCACAAGCACGAGGCCGTTAAAATAATCTTAGCTAGGCTGTTAGCTAAGACTCGTTGATCTCTTGGATCGATCCAAAAAGAGATCAGAAAAAAGGCAAGACAGAAAGGGCTTCTTGTTGTGGTGCTCGAGAAATGGAGAAGAACGTCAAAGGCAAACAAAGTTGCACAAAAATGGGCGAAATCCAAGCTTCCTCAACAGTTTTGACTTTTTACACAACACACACAAAAAAA